GAAGATTCCCAGATTTCTTGTTTATGCAACCTAGTGGTTGGTTGGAGCTTTTTACTAGATACGAAAGTTATGTTTGTTGAGGGTGAGGAGTTCCTTGGATGTGGGTCATTGAATATGGAGATTACTAACTCAGTTTTGGACGTGTTGATTGAGAGCAACCTTAGGCATTCAAGTGAAGGTGTTTGGTAAGCTTTTAGATGAATTCAAAAGTGACATAAGCTAAATGATGATATGTAACTGTGAAATATAGGCATATATATGGTAATTAAGCCCCAGGTAAGACCAATGAAGCGAAACCTGTTTTGTACTTCCTTTTCAGAATGGGAAGATTTGGAGAAGTACAGTGTGGGGAGAGGAGAATCTTTATTTCTGCAGAGCTGAGAAGAGCAATGGAAAAGTTTGTTATTGTTATTGAAAATAAATATTGTTATTTCCTTCTTCCCTCTAAGTACTCACAGCTTTAATGAATTTTTCACTTAATTGGCATGTTGATCCAAAGCTCTTGACTTGTAAAGTCATGTTTTCTTTCGTCTGAGAGTCAAAGGTTGGGTTTTCAATTAAGGCATTCACAAAAATCCACATGTGATTTTTCACCTGCAATGAAAATTGATATGAAGTCATTAAAAATGTACTCATGCTTTATTTATAGACTTTTACTTCTTCCTTGACTTTAGAAAAAGAAAACTGTGCTAAAATGCCATACCTGATGTGCTTTTACTGCAATACCACCCTTGTTCTTCTTTTTCACAACATCAACAAGTTTAGTCACAATCTGATCAGCTATATAATCAACATGTCTGCCACCCTAATGAAGAAAAATACGAAACTGTAAAACTAAATATCTTCAAAATTATGATAATCAAACATTAAAAAAATCTAATTTGGTTTCCTTTACACCAAGACAGTCAAATATTCAAGTCCATTTTATATATTAAAAATAAGAACACTTTATATATAAAGACAAATCACAATTAATAATTCAAGAATAAAATTACCTTGGAAGTAGCAATGCTGTTGACGAAGCTAATTTGCTGAAAGCCTTTTTCACTCATTGTTAAACACACTTCCCACCTGTGGTTTACTTGTTCATGTATCACTTTTAATGGGTTGCCAGTTTCATCTAACTTATCCTTCAAATACATATCTACATAACTACGGAATCCTTTTACCTGTACAGGAATTAAAGGTAATGATGTAAAAAAAAAAAGTTACAAAAAGTGGATTCAGTTATAGAGTATGAGGATTTTTCAAAACTAATAAAATAATGTTCACTAATGGACATAAGAGAATGGTCATCAAAGAAGGGCACAAAAGTATTTATTTTAGGTGTTTCTTTGAGAAAGAAATTTCTTAGTAAGTTGGAAATGAGCTGATTAAAAAAATGGTATTTCATTCTCTTTTCAAGAACACATCTGAGAAGTGGTAAGAAAAACATGGGAGAAAAAATCAATTTTGCTCTTGACAATGATCACAAAGTCCCTTATTATCTTTAACACTCAGGAAAATACTCACTGGCAGCTTATTTCCATTAAGAAAGACTTTAACATCTTTAGTGGATCCAGCAATATCATATGCTCTTCTAACCATCAGTGCAACAATATCTTTGTCCAAGCTTTGCATTTTAAACTTAGATAAATCAGGCTGGAAAGTGATACATGTATAATCTTCTCCACTGAAGGGCTTGAGTTCCATTTCACCAGCTCTCCCCATGTTATCCCTCCACGTCTATGGAAGTAAAGAATAGGAAAGATGAAAAACTCAAGTCAGGCCGGCCCGTGGCTCACTTGGTTGAGTGCGGTGCTCATAACACCAAGGCCACGGGTTCGGATCCTATATAGGGATGGCCGGTTTGCTCACTGGCTGAGCGTGGTGCTGACAACACCAAGCCAAGGGTTGAGATCCCCTTACCGGTCATCTTTAAAAAAAAAAAAAAAAAAAACAAAACTCAAGTCATCTCACAAACAAAATAGAACTAAATAACACAAATTTAGTTTATTAGTGCTAGAAAACTTAATATATGTTCATGAATTTTCCATGATTTAATGGCTTATAAATTATGTAAAAATTATGTAAAATTAAACCAACTACTAAAGCGATTATAAATGGCTATACTACAATTTATAATCAAGGCACAAGATATCTATTTACTTGCCTGTTTGAACATTTTCTTGTATTCTCTACTGGCTGTTTCCACAGTAAATTTTGTACTGAATATGTTACATAATTTGGCTCCATAGCCATTTCGACCACCTGGGCAAATAAATATAAAACAGTATCGTTATTATCTCACTGACAGTTTTATTTCTTAATCACTGGCAAAGCTATTCAATTACAGAGATTTATTCCCATATTTTTAACCGTCATGCCACAGATAGTGATTTAAAAGATATATATATATTTAGCAACAAATAAGTTCTTTATTTTCTCTCAATACCCTACCTGTCACTTTCTTTTCATCATCATCATAGTTACTAGAAGTTAGGAGCTGTCCAAATATGAGAGCTGGGACATACATCTTCTCAACTTTGTGTTCAACAACAGGAATACCTTTTCCATTATTCCATATACTGATTAAATTGTTTTCCCTAATAGAAGATTGAAAATTTTATTGTAAAACAAATGTTAAACTAATGCCTACATTTTAAAATATTAAAATACTATAATTTCTAAAATATACAAATATACAAGTCTAAATTCCTTTATGACTGTTTTCATATATACCTTCTGAAATTCAGCATTATCAACCTTTCCAACCATGCTTAATTCCTGACACTCCTGAAATAGGAGCCAAGAGAAAAAAAAAGAAAACTTTTCCAACATCTGAGTAGACACTGATAACGTTGAGAAAACATGAAATTTAAAAATGTTAGGACAGAGCTGGATGGTTAGCTCAGTTGGTTAGAGTGAGGCATTTTAACACCAAGGTTAAGGGTTCATACCAGGCAGCCACCAAAATAAAACAAAACAAAGTTAGAATAAATGAAGGGAAATGATTTATGTTTAATGGAAAGAAAAGGACAAAGTTTGGAAACATTATTGTACCACTTTTAAGAGGATAGGTTCTAGTGCCTTTAGCTTTCCTGCCCAAAAAACACATTGGAAAACAAATATAAAAGAGAAAACATTATTTATCATAACTTCCCTGCTCATCAATAAAATGCTAAAAACTTATTTGGGCTTATTTATCTCTTAGTTATTTTAGGTTAATTCTCAGAAGATAATATATTTTAGTTATAACTGGACACACTATGGGTTTCAATCCAGATAGTACTTAATATTATCTATAAAAAAGACTAATTAAAACTAGCCCAACACTTTTTGGAAGACTACGATATCGGGACCTTAGGAGCACTCAAGTACATCATCATTAACACACTCCCAAAAAGAGCCTTAAGCACAGTTTACGTACAGGCTAATAAAAAGGTGAAACAAGCATCCTGACCACCCAACAAAGGGACACCCAGCATTTATAACTAGAAATCTTACATCAAATTATTCTCTACCACCACCTGCTGGTTTACTGTTTGAATAGCACCATGAGAAAAAGTTAAAACACCAGACTCCAGGATACTTAAAGTAATTATTGGAGATGCTTGCTAAAATATTTAGGAATTAAGTGTCATCACGTCTGTAATTTATTTTGAATTCAGAAAAAAACATAGATGGAGCAAATATGGAAAAATGTTGATAACTGTTGGATCAAGGAGGTGGGTATCCATAGGTTGTTCATTTTAGCATTGTCTTTCTGTACTTTTGCAAACTTTCGTTTTTAAAAAAAGCCAACTTCACTAGTAATCAAATAAACGCAACCAACAATAACAGTGAGTGGAGGTGGGTATCCATAGGTTGTTCATTTTAGCATTGTCTTTCTGTACTTTTGCAAACTTTCATTTTAAAAAAAAGCCAACTTCACTAGTAATCAAATAAACACAACCAACAATAACAGTGAGCTATAACAAAAAACTAAGCAAGGGACTTACGGATCAATTGTGACTCTAATACAAGACATTTTCGGGTCCCTTTGTTTATTGTCCGCAGCATTAACTGAAAGAAAATAAACTACATATTTGTGGTGTTTAAGAAAAAAATTCCTTAACTCTATAGAAAAAAAATATCCCAAACAGCACAGGAGTAGCATTAACAAGGAGTTAATTTAGCGATTTATAGTACTGTTTCTTAGCAATTCATTTAATAAGGAGTTAATTTAGCAACTCATAGTACTGTTTCTAGGTCAAAAACTCACCTTCCTAGACTCCAATAGACTACCTCACCTTTGTTAACTATTCTAAATGACGGGAAGCCTGGCTACAAAAGATTTGGTAGAAATGATACTTCTTATAAAGGATTTGGCCAGTAGATAGATGTTTATATGAAAGAAATTACTCACCTAGAATCTCATCAAAGATTTTGTACAAACCAGGAACAAAAGTGACTTCCCTATAGTTAATGCCAACATCTTCATCATAAACCCACATTTGCTAGAAATAAGGCAAATAAATAGTTAGTTTCACTCTACATTTATACTGTCTCGTCTTCATGATTACCATAAAGTATTCTGGATTGAATACAGTATATGTATATGTACATATATGATAGCTTAAGCCAGTTTCAGTGATACTCAGTACTTGAGATACAGAAAATTAACCTGGAAAAAGTATACATTCTGACTGCTAAGTATTTTATTAGCTTGGTTTTACCTGGGTCACCAATTCCACAGAGCCAATGTAGGTATCTGGGCGAAGCAAAATATGTTCCAATTGTGTTTTCTTTTGATAGACTCTTTCAATAGACAGTTTTTTCTTAGCATCTTCATTTTTCTTTATTTTGTTGATTTGCATATTTTCATTTACAGGCTAGCAATTAAAAAAAGAAAGAAGGGATTTTTGATCACAGGTTTATCAGAAACCATGTACAAAATACTTACCATACTGATCAGCTTTAATGCACTCTATCCCAAACTGCAATCTGTTAGTAGATATTGGTGGAGTTTACACAGTTTTATACAAACGTGGCAATTTAATTTCACTGCAGCCAGGTTCTCAGATATCAGTCTGAATAGACATATATTATCTCACCAAGTGTATGTGATCTGGAAACTTCTTCCGTGAACAATGTTTTAAATGTCATCGATAAAATACACCCACTACCTTCATCTACTGCATAAATATTTACTGAGTGCCTACGATGTCCCAGGCACATAATAGGTTCTAGTTCAGCAGCAGTTTGGGAGGCTATCACGACAATCCCTTGGCCACATTAACGTTTTGAACACAGGAAGGCCATTTGGTGAGCCACACGGGTCGGCTGCTCCTCAGTGGGAACACTGTTGCCATGACTCTGCACCTTCCAGGACCGGCCACGTTCAATCCCATTTTAAGCAGAGGGCAGGAGAGGAAAGCATCTGTAAGTGGCTACTTAGAAGTCACAGAGGGACCACTATAGTACAGATCCACCACAGGACGTACTGAATCCTGTCTCTAGAAACAGTGGGAACAACACACAACTCCCTGGAAGCCAGCTTAGCCGATAATACTTCACTACTAGCACCCGAAGGGGCTTCACCCTCTTCACGGTCACTCAGGGCCCAGGAGATGGGGGTCGACAAGGAATAGGGCCTGCCAAGCCGGTCGCGGGCCGCACCCCAGCCCAGGAGCCTCACCCCTCACGGGCGGTCAGAGAGATGCCCGGGACGCGCTGAGGCTCCACCACCCGGCCCCTTCCGCGAGATGTACCTGCAGTGGGGACACCTCCATGGTGACGGTCGTGAAGGGGCTCGAGAACCCTGAAAGCGATTAGACCGGTAGGCGCACGAGACGACCCAGGACCAAGCCGCTTCTCCACAGACGCACGTCGGTTAGGAGAGCTTCTCTAGTCCCATATGAATTTTCCTCTAGCCCGCCCAAACCAGTTAAGCCAATCCCGGACTCGCTCTCACCGCCTCTGCCCAGGCAAACCAATCGTAGCTGGTTTTTTATACCCACCTATGAACGACTGAGTAGGCCGTGGGCTTGTTCGAATGAACCAATTAGGCAGGGGAGGCGGGACTAGAGGGTTTCAAAAGGCACCACTCGGGATCGTAGCGGAGAGACTGACAGGAAACCTGGCCAATGTAGAGGGGGGGTCCGTTTGTTCTCTCAGCGCGGAAAACTCTATAATGAGCCGCGACAGAGGGAGGGTGCTGCCTGAGGTACCCGCCGGGGTAGAAAGAGGAAGAGAAGGAAGTTTATTCCCCGGAGAGCTGCTAATCTACTTCAGTCCGTGCTCTCTAAAAAACCGTCCTCCTGGGCCGGCCCGTGGCTCACTCGGGAGAGTGTGGTGCTAACAACACCAAGGCCACGGGTTCGGATCCCACATAGGGATCGCCGGTTTGCTCACTGGCTGGGCGTGGTGCTGACAACACCAAGTCAAGGGTTAAGATCCCCTTACTGGTCATCTTTAAAAAATAAATAAATAAATAAATAAAAACCGTCCTCCGTCCTGAGGTCGTTAGCGAAAGGAATGGACTCTTAGATTCATCTTCCTGAGGAAACTGAGCGCCGGCTTTCTAGACAGGCGGCCCGGCCATTTGGTTAAGGGAACAGGTTCTGGCGACTGCCTCCTCCTCTCCCGCCCAAGAATTTATTTTTCAAAGAAACAAAGGTGCTTAGTTGTGGTTTTTGGTTTCCATATAAAGGATGCAGAGAGGCCATGCAAATTATAGGGTAGCATTTAAGTCCCCAGTGGAGCAGCGTTGGACCGCAACTGGTAAATCAGAGGGAATAACCCACTTATGGTCACGGGGGGGGGTCCGTTTGTTCTCTCAGCGCGGAAAACTCTATAATGAGCCGCGACAGAGGGAGGGTGCTGCCTGAGGTACCCGCCGGGGTAGAAAGAGGAAGAGAAGGAAGTTTATTCCCCGGAGAGCTGCTAATCTACTTCAGTCCGTGCTCTCTAAAAAACCGTCCTCCTGGGCCGGCCCGTGGCTCACTCGGGAGAGTGTGGTGCTAACAACACCAAGGCCACGGGTTCGGATCCCACATAGGGATGGCCGGTTTGCTCACTGGCTGGGCGTGGTGCTGACAACACCAAGTCAAGGGTTAAGATCCCCTTACTGGTCATCTTTAAAAAATAAATAAATAAATAAATAAAAACCGTCCTCCGTCCTGAGGTCGTTAGCGAAAGGAATGGACTCTTAGATTCATCTTCCTGAGGAAACTGAGCGCCGGCTTTCTAGACAGGCGGCCCGGCCATTTGGTTAAGGGAACAGGTTCTGGCGACTGCCTCCTCCTCTCCCGCCCAAGAATTTATTTTTCAAAGAAACAAAGGTGCTTAGTTGTGGTTTTTGGTTTCCATATAAAGGATGCAGAGAGGCCATGCAAATTTTAGAGTAGCATTTAAGTCCCCAGTGGAGCAGCGTTGGACCGCAACTGGTAAATCAGAGGGAATAACTCACTTATGGTCACGACCTCATGAACTGACGGGCTGGGACCGTCCTGGGACTGAAACCTTCTCCTCACGCAGCCAGCGAGGTGCCCGACTACTGGTTGCTTTTGCTGTCCTCCGTGAACTCTAGAAAACTCCGTGAACTGCTGAGAAGAAATGCCCAAGACTATTGCTCTGACGTGTGAATATGAGTGGGTTTATATTTCTCTCATCAATCCACATGTTAAACCAAAAAAAAAAAAAAAAAAAAAAAAAAAAAAAAAAAAAAAAAAAAAAAAAAAAAAAAAAAAAAAAAAAAAAAAAAAAAAAAAAAAAAAAAAAAAAAAAAAAAAAAAAAAAGTATTGCCCTTACAAGATGCTAGAAAAAATAACTGCACAATTTGAGTGACTGCTAATTCCATCCGAACCACCTCCTTCCATTCATATACTGCCTTAGTGTGCCCGAGTTTCAATTCCAGCTCCGCAGTTGCCAGTCGAGTCATCTTGATGGAGGAAGCTTCTCCGTGCTTCTGTTTTCTCTGCTAAAAAGAGTATCATCTCAATTGTGTGAGGATTCCATGAGATAAGTGGAAGGGGTTTAGAATGGTAGGCTAACAGTTTCAGAATCAGGAAGGAGGAATTTTCCTTAGGCTGGTATGACGATTTGTGGATTTACTTGTAAGAAAACAGAGGTCAACCATTGGTAAATAACCCCAGCATATCCAATGCCCACTCTACTGGCAAAGCCCCAGGGAGAGACAGTGAGGAGGGGGTGTGATGTGTCAGAAAATCAAGGATGGATTAGTAGCCCACAGGCTGGGGTGACTCGGAAAGCCGAAGGAATGAACTTTGGCACAGCTCTGGTCCCTGACCTCTGGGCCCCTGGCCTCCAACAATCTCTGAGTATTTTCAGTTCCATATGCTTACCACATATGTTGATAAAGGAAGGCAGCCCCAATGCACATGACATAGGGTCTCAGAGCACTTGAGGGAAGACTTTCCATCCAGAAGGCTGACCACACCCTGGGCTCCAGGACCAGCATGCCAATTCTCTGCAGTTTTCCCAGGATGAAGGATGGCCCTGACAGAAACCAGCCATGCTTCCTTCTACCTTCTGGAACATAGAAGCCCCAACGTGGGTGGTGGATGGGCATGCTTCCCCAAAGATGGCATCCAGCTTTTGCAGCTCCTGGTCTCCACCCTGTAGCTCATCGCAGCCTTCAGTACCCTGCAAAACCCATCTGTAGATGAGGCAATAGTAATTTAATAAGCAGCTCCAGCCCTATCTTCTGGGACCCAGCTTTAAATCTCTCTTGCAATTTAGCCTAATCCTGACTGTGTGGGTCTCTGTTCCAAAAATCCAGAAGCAGAACTGTGGAGTCAAAAGGAGTTTGGAGTCACACACACCTGAGTTAGAATTCTCCCTGAGCCTCAGTTTGTTTCCCCATGTCATTATCCTTTATCAAAGGACTAAATGAGATATGGAAGCATCTAGAACAATTCTTTTCCCATCCTCTAGCACAGAAGGGTTCTTGCTCTGGCCCACCCTCCTCCTCTTCTGAGTACAAGCTGTTTCTCTGCCAGCCCCTCCTTCCTTCCTGCCTATCCACAGGGGGTCTTGCAGGACTTGTGGGGAACATTGAAGGAAGAAGTAGGTGGGGGTCTGGGATGGTTGGTCCTGGGAGGTATTGCATACAAAGAGGGAATTCCAGGTGCCTGCCAGATGTTAGTCCTGGGAGGCCAGAGTGGGTTGGGAGTCAGTTCCAGGGGGTTGTTGCGGGGGATGGGGGAAGCCAATCCTCATTATCCCCCTCTCCCACTCTGCAGAGGCCCAAATTAGTTATCCGGACCTTACCCTCATCCCTACCTCCACTTGTAGGTCGGGGTTGAGTACGTGAATCAGACCCCTGACTAGGTACCTGCTGGGTATATGACCTTGGGCAAGTCACTCAGTCTCACTGTGCCTCTTATTTCTTCATCTTTTCAAAAGACAAAATTACAACAATTTAGTTATAGATCTAACTGGCTTTTATTTGTGATTCATGAATCAGGACAGCCTCTGTTCTACAAAATAGAGTGAGAACTCCCACTGGGCAATAATAGAACAGTGGGTTTTGTAAGCTGGGAACAAGGAAACAGAACAATAGGAAAAAAACTAGTTAACACCAGGTTACTTCAGGTTACCTTTTTTGTAAGGGTTAAAGCAGAGGGGACTTCTTTATTATGCTGACTCAGGCAGACTGGAATCTTTTGTTTTCAGGAAAAACTGGTCTGTTTTGGGATCTGTGTCCTTAAAGTTTCAGTTTCATTATGTGGCACTTAGCATGAGTGATTCCATTTTAGTTCGATATGGTCTGTTGGGACCTAGTGCAGGAGCTCAGTCCAAAATAATGGGCTCCCATAAGGATAAGATAACATAGGTAAAGTGTTTAGTGCCTTGCCTGGCAAATAGCAAGGGCTCAAAACATGTTAGCAGTTATCAATTCTGCTCCTTTCCAAGATCTTCTTCTCCTTTCAGTCCCACAAGTCCCTTCCTCCAAAACCAGTGTCAAAATTCTCCTTTTCACAGTCTTCTCTGACAAAACATGTTAGCAGTTATCAATTCTGCTCCTTTCCAAGATCTTCTTCTCCTTTCAGTCCCACAAGTCCCTTCCTCCAAAACCAGTGTCAAAATTCTCCTTTTCACAGTCTTCTCTGACCTTTTTTATTGAAGCATCCGCAAGCCTTTAGGAGTATATTTGCATATGCAAATGAGTTCTTTTATAAGCATTCTCTGGTTGTTTTCTCCTGGGTGTTGTGTATTTCCTGTCTTCCTGCTCAGAGGCAGGGGGAGGGGAGGTCCTGAAGGCACTGTGTCTACATAGTCAATCTGGGAGCTCCCCAAGAAGGGAGACTCTTTCCTTTTGTGGGCTGACTGAGCAGAAGGGGAATGGACTGAAAGTGTGGCTCTGGATTTGGGGTTTGGAGCTGGCTAGGCTGGAGCCCACTAAGAATTCCTGGATGAGGCTGGACCAGTGCCAGGGTACTCAGGTGGTTTGGGCTGGGCCAAGAGGCTCTGTTTACCTTGAGGTTGACAACTGGCAGGGTCTGGTCAGTTTTTATTTTACCAGGGATACCAACCTTGGGTTGGAGGAAGCCAGCCAGGAAAACCCCAAATGTCCCACAGAGCTCAGCCTCTGGGTGGAATGGGGAAGCCACCATGTGGAGGGCCACCAGATGGAGCAGGGAGGAGAGCAAATGAGGTTCCAGAGGGGAGCAGCTCAGGACCAGAGATTAGTTCCCAACAAGTCTACTCAGAAGTTTGGCAGGCCCATATCTATCAAAACTTTAAAAAAGTACATGCCTTTTAACTCAGCAATCTAACTTCTAGGAATACTGAATACAG